TCTTTTCGCCTCGCCTCCAGCCATGGTGGAGCTGAAGTTGATGTTGATACGCCTGGGACTCACCCCTCCCTATTTTCTCCCAAAATGCACAAAAACTTATTTTTGATTGACAATTTAGAATAAATATTAGAAGTTTGAGAATGTAATTTCCGGGCATATAGTGTGGACATCATTGTTTTTTCTTTTTTTTGGGGGGGGGGGGGCGGCTTTGGTTTGCTTTTTTTTTTGCCTCAGCCCCAACCATGGGTGGGCTGAGGTGGGTGTAGACTTTCCTGGTATATACCATTCTCTCCTATTTGATGTATTTAAAACTGAACTTCAGCAATACTGCTAAATTAAGACACTTTGAAAAACATGATTTTTTTTAAAGTCTAAGAGTGCTACTTTCAAGTTCAACTCCAACCGTGGTGGAACTGGCGTTGATGTGGCACTTGAATTCAATTTGAATTCCACCCACCCAACTCTAATCAACAAGTCCGGCTAAGGGGCTGAAAAATATTGATATATTTTAATAATTTACCTTAAAGTTTATGTATTAAAATGTATTTTTGTACCTTCGTAAAATAAATCCTACAGTAGACGTACCATATTTTGTGTGTTGTTTTGTAGTGAATAAAACTTAACCAAAATCCAAAAGCGCAATTTGTGCTTTCGGCAGTAGAGAGAATGTACGAATTCTTCATCCATATTAACCCAGAAATATAATTAGAGAGTTAAGCGAATTACTTTAATAATAGGCATACATTATCCCACAGTATATTTATTACGATATATGTTATTAAAATATCTTTAAGTGAAAGTTGTCGTTCAGGTTGTAACACATTATATTCAGAGATTTATGCCGAATACCATTACATTTCTTCTTTTTATTGTCATTGATTTACAATTAGGAGTTACCACTAAGTATAAAACTTTTTACCAAATTTAATTCCATCATGTGGATCGTACATTTATAAATTATCGTCGATCTAGATACAATAATTAAATTACATTATAATATATCGTGTGAGGCATTAAATTATTGAAATTATAGGGCAGACAAAAATTCTGTCAATTGTTCGAATCCACATAAACGAGTTTTTTTTAGAAATGAAATGAGAGACAGCTTATGCCGATGGTGGCAACACTTAATATCCACCTTTTAATCTGTCTCTTATACACATCTAGATGTGTATAAGAGACAGCTCATTGAATTTCCTAAAAGGAGCAATTGTTAGATACTTTGAAAGACATGTTGTGTAGTAAAATACTATCAGTGTAAGACTGTTTGAAACCGTCTGGGAGGGAAGTACAATTTGAAGGAATCTAGAGTTCCTACATCCTTATTTTATCTCAGTCCCAACCTTAGTGCATGCTGAAGTGGGTGTCGAGACTCTGGTACTTTCCCCTACATTTCTTTTTACAATTTCGCAAAAAAAAAAAATTTGATCTAACTAAAATTTAACGGAGTTAAAAAGTCAAATTAAGATACAACAATATTCAAAAGTCTACCAGTGTTATATCATTCCATTTAGAATTGCCACTGCACTCCTGAATGTGTTCATCTCCGTCCTCAACCATGTAATATTTAAAGTTTAAGAATGCTATTTCCGACATTTAAAGCTGATTCATGCTCTATTTTCTATTCGCCTCGCCTCCAGCCATGGTGGAGCTGAAGTTGATGTTGATACGCCTGGGACTCACCCCTCCCTATTTTCTCCCAAAATGCACAAAAACTTATTTTTGATTGACAATTTAGAATAAATATTAGAAGTTTGAGAATGTAATTTCCGGGCATATAGTGTGGACATCATTGTTTTTTCTTTTTTTTGGGGGGGGGGGGGGGGGCTTTGGGTTTTTTTTTTTTTTTTTTTTTTTTTTTTTTTTTTTTTTTTT